AGACACACCCAGCTATCACGTAAAACTCGCTGAGTATTGACTCGGTAGTATCATAGTATTAGTGGCAGAGGTGAAACATAAAATGTATTGGCTAGAAAGTATCTCAGCTGCGAGGCATCAGCCACGGAAAAAAAGAGTGCGGGGTTCTTGGGATGATATGAACATTTCTAACTAATTGTGGTAGTACCCCAATAAATTAGGTTACTAACCCAAATTTTGCACCAATTTGGGTTGCAGCACCACCATGGTTGATTGAATCAGTGAGAACGAAAACAAACCAACTCGGAAAAATGGAAAGAATCATGACACACAATAAACCGAACAGTGAATGAAGAAATTAGTCTAAGGAAGAGATTTTTGGTGCCAAAATACAAGCACTTAAGGACATTTTAAAGGTTTAAGTTGGAACAGATGCGCTAACTTCAATGACTTTTATAAAAATTGATCGTCTCTTATGAAAATTGAGCAGTTTCGAGTCACCGAGTTGGTGTGTTTTATTCGAACTCACTGATTCAATTGGAAATGTCCCTGTCATCCAACAAATTGGGATAGTAAAACAATTTTCGGAAGGAACACCATGTAACAATTTTTTCCGTGAGGATTTTTGCTGGGGGTACAGATAAGGAAATGAAGGTTCGAACATAAAATTTGGGGATGACAAGAAACGAAAGGTACGCTTATTGGTAGGAATACGGAACAGGAGTTAATTTATACTTTCAAACTTAACGGCATAAAAAATTCGAGAATTTATCATACGGAATATCCATGGCAATTATGTTCAGGACAAGAGGTCGATTTGATATACAGAATTAATCCGAACAGATTTTTACTGAATTGATCCTTTATTGCATAGCGTTGCATGCAAGCAACAAATGATTTTTAGCTTTATTTCTATGCTGGAGTATTAAATTGAATCAAAGCAAGAAATGATTGCAATGTATACCAGACATACACAGGAGAGTTTCACCGTTAAACGGTTTGATTTTTAGAGAGCTTATGAATTTATCATAACATTCAGAAATCCACAAGACATCGAAGTCGCGGCGCAACCCTGAACTGAAGTTTGGAGTATCGTTTTATATAAATTAGCGAAGATGGGAGCCTTTATCGGTCGATAAAAGAAAGCTTTCACATTAAGGAAGATTTGCACATAAGACGATCATTGAACCAAAAGACCGATAAGGCAGAAAGTAAATTAAGAGAGGGGCCCCGAAAACTCATGAGTCATAAACCACAAAAGCCGGTGAATAATCCAACGCTCATGAATTTTCGGCTTTCGCATCATTTTATCACCTCTGCCTACCAGATCCACCGTGCCGAGGAAAAACGTGGCATGAACATTCGAATGTTGCCACATTTCTCTCGGTAAAATAGTGTTCTTGGATACAGATTTGCGTCAGTTTCTGTTAAGTCCAAAAACATATGAGCCCTGGCTTTTGTTCATTACGCGGGATGCTATAGGGATCATGAGTTTTCGGAACCTGCACCCGTCCAACCGAAACCGATTTCATTGCATGCCTGAAAAATATCCCTAATAGCAAGAACTTTTGGAGGACTTCGGCGTAAAAAATTGTTAAAATGAAGGAGTTCGCAAACCCTGTTCGTTCCTTTTCAAGTGAAATTTATATGGACTTTATGAAAGTTGTTTTAAAAATGTGTATAAAAGTTATGTTAAATTTTAAAAAGTACTCATATTGATGAGCTAAACAAGGAATAAACTGCATAATTCACAACGTACAAAAATAGAAAATTTCAAAAGCAAATTTACGTACATTATACATACAATTTTAGCAACTTTTAACTTGCAACTTTAAACAACTTTTTAGTTTAAATTCAGCGTACATTTCATTTTAAAACGAACAAACAGGGTTTACGGACTCTCTCATCTTAACTTTTTTTAAGTCAAAGTCCTTCAACAGTAATTGCTATTAGGGATATTTTTTTAGCCATGCAGTGAAATCAATGAAAGACTTGCGAAAGAGCTAAGATACCTTTTTACGCAAAATACAAAAAAGGGTTTCCTAGAGGGATACTTCTACCGTTTTTTTTAGGGTCTTAACTCTGAAATACACGCGATTTGCAGCTTTTTTTACACTATTGATATTTATGGTGGAAAAATACTACTCGGAGGCTTCCCAGAGAATTCGTGTTTTATCGATGGAGATTCGGCAACATTTGACGGCTCTTACGGCGTTTTTCCTAAGGAGGGCGGAGATACAGGCGCGCTCGCCTGTTTTTCCACGTAGGCTGGATTTCCACTCATAAAAGAGTCGCTAAAAATTATAACGGAGGGGCTGCGAGAGCACGATAATTATCCATACAAAGTTGATCAAAAAGTTTTAACTGCCACTCAGGAAACTTTTGACCGCCGAACGGCGTGCCGGTCGGATTTTCCGCCGCGAGGATGCTCCGCTAGGCAAGAATCGCGCAACTCCACACGGGCTCCATTTTGTAAGTACGCTGTTTCTGTTTCACGTGAGAGCGGAGGCAAGGGAACATTGACCCTGGAAACGAGGCGTATTTTTTGAAAAATTCATAGGAGGCGTATTAATTACAGGTCCCTGGTTGGATGGTGGTGTGCACCGAAAAGGGTATTTGAAGATAGAACAAAGAGTAAAGCGCGCGCCTGGGTATTTTTGCTCCGAGAACGCATGCTAATAAAAGACTGAAGAGAGTAGGATCCGACAGGTAGGTTCTGAACTCTCACTATCTCGGTAAAGGGGGTTTATTTTCGGCGGCAAAATTGGCCAAAACCAGCCTTACTGTGTCTCATGTTGCATGATTTCCTTCCATGTTTAATTTTTACTGGAAAATTAAAATTGTACATATCCTTGGAATATCCTCCAAATTTCCTTCAATGGTTAAAAAACGGAATGAAAAGATCAGAAAGGAAGGTTCTGTATTCTTGTTGCATCAGAAAGAACTGTGACCACAAGTTAAGTCCCGGTATGCAACGCGGAAAAGAGGTTGGATGATATAGGCATTTCCACTTGGACTTCATTTTGTGATTAGGAACTACAAGTTCTAGCCCATCCGTAAGAACACTTATGTGCACCGGGAAACTAATGGTGTATACGTTGTCTCTAAACTAAGTACCAGAAATTGTAGTTCCGAGTTGGAAAAGGTATAGGTCCCGGTATGTTGCACGGAAAAAAGAAGTAGGAGCTGTGGAATGATATAGGTATTTTTTCCACTTGGACTTCTTTTCGCTATGAGGACTAAAATCTCTGGCCAATCCATAAAATCACTTGTATAATGTCACTATGTACACCGGGAAACGAATGGTGCATACGTTGTTTCTAAACTAAGCCAGAAATTGTAGCTCCTAGTTTGAAAAATCAGTCCAATTAATTGTGGTACCAACTGGAGTTGCGGTACTACCACAATTATAATAATTGGAAATGTCACTATCATCCAAGAAAAGGGGGGGGAAATTGGGGTAGTGCCAAAATTTTAGCAAAAAACCCCTATCACTATTTTTTCCGGATATAACTACTTTTTGAAGATTTTGACTTTTGGCAGGGGCTGAATTTTGTCAACTCTTTCACACAGAGGTGCAGCATCAGTGGATGAGTCCAAACCGCACCCCCGGCCAATCAAAAGCGCTAAGCGGAACTTACAAGTGCCATCGAGACCCGTCTTCAAGTATCTTTTAAGCACGGAGGAAAGACCAACAAAATTCGGCCACGGGAGAAAGTGGTACAAAAATCAAGCTTATAAATACTCCAGCCTCCATGCTTTTTTTCTTTTTCTTAATGCATTTATTTATTTATTATTTTTTTGTGTGACAAGGTTTGTTACGATAAACTCGGTCTACGTAAGCTAAATATATTGTTGAACTTTTGGAAGGGGTGAAATATTTCCTTGTTAAATGCCATGTAGGAAAAACTCTGAACAATTTGAGCATTGCTTTGATCTCCGCGACGCCAAGTTTTTCTAATTGTAATCAGCATGGGCAGAGGGAAGAGTAGGACGAGGAAGTACGAGACGCGATGGGGGTAATATGGGCAGGATATAGAGGAGGTATGGGTCCGGGGGGTGAAACGGGGTAGGAGGGCGAGAGGTAGTTCAAAGACCGAGCAAATTTATTAAAACATAAATTCACGATTACTAGACTTTTATGAATGGAATTACATACTCTCGGGGAAAACCAAGCATACAAAATACGAGGTTCGAGCTATTTTTTTCACGTTATCCATCTAGTTGCCAAACTTACAAAGCACTTTTGGATATTTTTTTTATTTCTGAACACAAAACATGTACAGGCTGTGGTAAAAACAAATATTTTCATTTTGAACGTTCCCTAAACAGAGCTATCTGAGATACTTCTGGCAGGTATAAAATTAGTATTTTTTTTTCTTATTTCTAATATTCTCATTTTATCTGACCTATGACATATCATACGGAAATCATCCATCAATTTTTTTAAATCCATTGTAAGGATTCAGCGGGTCAAAAAAATACCAGAGAAAATGAGTGTAGCCAAAAAGTGATAAGTTTCCGAGGGACCAAAGAATATGGGATGACGGCGCAAAAGTGGTGAAGAAACATGTGCTAGACCTAAAAGGTTGGAGGTGATTGTACCGAGAGAAAGAATGAAAGGATCGAAAAGAGAGAGAAAATGGAATAATATATGCGGTTTGCGAGTGAGAGACTATTTTTATTGATCGGAAGGATCCTGTCCTAGGTGATTTTATTTTTACCAGGCTCAACGTGAGCCGGCTACTACCATGGGTAGGAGACCTGAAGGGCCACCAGGCACGTAATGCGCCGGCTTCTGCTTTGCGCAGGAAAGTCAGAAGGACTTGAATTTTGAATACTACTCTGTGCTAATGCACTTACTTTTATTCCGGATTCATAAATGAATCGGCTTCTCCGGTTGGAGGATTTGATACAAACGTGAATTTAGTTAGAGATGTCTTGAAATTTTTCCTGGGTGAATTTAGATAGGACTGCCAAAAGTGGAATATTAAAGTTGATTTCGTGATGACCCTGAGAGATTAGCCGCTCCGATCGCTATAGATGAGTTGATGCAGCTTGTTCGCCAAATTCGCTCCTTGACCTTGCTCGAGGAACTTGATTCTTGACTTGGGTTCGGGTTTCCTTTCTGGCTGCTGCTTGAACTTGGTTGAGTCTTCGTTTCCTAGGTCTGGATTAGCTTGCTTCGCTGCTTGGCTGGATCTGGGGACTGGGTGTTGATCGGACGGCGCATCACTTAGAAGTGATTTCATGGAGCGCAGTGTCCCAGTATTTATACCGGTCGCGTGAGAGAGCGTTGCCGCGAGCTTGGCTGTGATTGGTCGACGCGAGCGCTGTGTGAGAAATTGGCGGGAGTACCGCTATGCAAGTTTGAACTTCGCGGGAGCACCGCTAGGCGAGATTGAACTTGGCGGGCGCTGTGGAGACTAAGTTTTGGACGTTTTGAATTTCGCGCCCGCGCGTGGCTCGTGATTGGTGCGCTGCCTCGCGTTCATTCTGAGGCTGGGGCCAATGGAATTCAGCGGAGCTTTTTGCTCCCGGATTCATCACTGTGATTGGATTTCTAATGATTATTATTTTTAAGGTGAAACCGAACATCCATCTTAAGAGATTGTGGGTACCTTACCCAATTAGACGAACCTCAAAAATCTAGAATTGTCAATTATTTGCGACACATTGTGTTCAATGCAGGGATTTAGAGCTGAGGTTTGAGGGAGCATCATAAACGGAGCCGCATCGGCGCGCGAGGCGGAGGCCCGGCGCGGACTTTCATGCCGCTTCGATCAGTGCGCCGGGGGAGCGCATATGCCGTTGAGGCGGCTTCACCTGGTGAAGCCGACTCCCGGCTCCTTTTCTGATGCTGCATCAGTTTTGATGCTGAGTCCAGCATCAAAATTAGCGGCTTCAATTAGCAGACGCGTCGGACGCCAGCGCCCCGGGCCCGGCTGCCGGTCGGCTAACACCCTTCCTCGGCGTCCACTTCTTAGAACTTCTCGGCGAGGCGTGGGCCGCCGCCAAGACAAAGGGGTGTTCCGCGAATTCATCGCCGAGTCCGAGGGTCGCGGTCTTCTGGGACAGCCCCGTCGGTAATTAAGCTGGGTGGCGGGTCCGAAAATTGAGGCCGTACCGGGCCGCAAGCCGACAGTCCGGCCTCAGAGGCTGAGGCACAAGTTGGTCCCTGAGCCAGCATCAAACCTCAGCATCAGCGCTTGAGGCTGGCTCGGTCGGCTCTCCAGCATCGGGCTTCAATGCCCGAAGCCGGCGGCCGGCAGGTTGAGCGCATCAGGCTCGGAGCCGTATGCCCGAACGGCCGCTACCTGGGCATACGGCATTGATGCTGAAGCTACGAGTCGATGCTGTACAGCATAACCTCATGAGGCGCCTCAAATTCCTGGTTCAATGTAACATTGGACACGTATTCAAAATGGGAGGAATTGTAAGTTAGATGGCATGTACGAAAGAGTCCAATCCAAATTTTTGGATCCATCCGAGAAACTATCTATACCCGCACGTGCCTGAAAAATCTTAAAAATCCGATCATTTGTCTGAAAAATTGGATACAAAAAAAAAACAAGATGAGAGATCAGCTGGAGAAGCAGAGAAAATGCTAGCGATAAAACTCGACCCCTTTGTGTTCTAATCCTGGCATACGGCAGGAAAACGGTGAGTGGGAGGTACCGAGTGCGAAAAAGTTGAAGGAACAAGTGAATTTATCTGTAATGGATTGCCCGAATTGTTGGAACAACTTACTCGTCAACGAAATGGTACATAGCATATACTGCAGTGCAGTATTCCGGTTGCCAGGTTTATAAATAAAAAAAATATTTTATTGCTTTAATGTTACTGTATGGAAGGTTGCTTTGCCAAACAGAGGGTGTAACGAATTTGCCTTTTTATTTGAAACCCTCAACTTATCTTGATACGTAATTACATTTTCATTAACAGATCAGGTTCCCGTTACTCACTAATGTTGGTCTTCCGATGATTGGAATTATCGATGACCAAGATGGTCCCCGATTTGTAAACACATCATCCATGGTTTTTGTCAATTGAACAACATTTTACTTTAGGAGCCACTGAATTTGGCTCTTTAAGATGCTACATCGATTGGTGTTCTTAATTTTAAATTATTGATAAATGCAGACGATGGGCCAGCCTTTTGTAAAAAAGCAAAAAGTAATGGTCAATCACTGCGAAATATATTCCAATTACATCCGCCGCATTACGCACCATAAAGCCCAATTCACACTATCAAACTTTTCATCTAGCATAATTGAACGAAAAGTTGGGTGGAAAATTTGAACGCAAACAAATTTGATTCAATTACTCTCCGTTCAACTTTCCATCCAATTGGCAATACCAATTAGATAGTTAGTTGGTTAAAGTTAAATGTGACGTCACATTCAAGTTTCCGATCAATTTTAATTGTCGTTTTCTCGCGTCAGTACTCGTATCACAAAATCAATTTTTTCATTACGACAAGTTGCATTCAAGAGTTGAATGAAAAGTTACCCCAAGACGGGGTGCTACCGCAATTAATTAGGGGTCCTATATACCACGATTGCTTGAAAATTCCGACTACCCATTTTTTCCCTGAGGGTTTTTATGAATGAGCCAGAAATATCAGTTCCTCAGTACGAAATTTAGTCAAAATCTACAACGTCGCCGCAAATCCTGACATGCAAATTTGGGGTTCCATCATCAAATTGGCACGTCGAGCTAATTGCGTCGCCTCTGATGTCGGATCCCGGATCTCCAGCGGCATCTCGGCCAAGCATCTCGGATCGGTCGATTTTAAAACCGCAGATGTCCTTCATCCGATGAGCTCTAGAATATAAGCGACCTTATAGAGCTGAAGGCTCTTCCGAATAGGGGGTTTGGTAGGTTCCGATATCGAGCGATTCGTATGATTAATGCGATCTCATTGAGCGGAGGAACACGGGAACCCGATACCCGCGAAAGAGCACTGACCTCCGGCGCGCGCGATTTCAATATCGCCCGGTGAAACATGAGTCCATCTTTCTCCGATAAATCAACGAGCGGACAGGTTCCCCCGTTGATGTCCGGGTATTAACCTTCGTTCCCTCGTTTTTAACTTGAAATCTCGTAATCAGAGCCCTTTACTCCCTCACTCCCTCATCTTCGCGGGGCGTCGTTCCGCCCTCCCGCCCGACGGGTTGACCGTCCAGCGGGCCGATTATTGAAATGGTAGACAAAGTTATACATGAAGAAGATAAAAGAAATATGGAGGGATCCTATTGGTGGAAACGGGTAGTTGCAATGGACAAACGAGGTAGGTAATAGACTAAAGCAAACCCACGAGAGAACCGATAGTTTATCATTTTCTTCCTTAGTCTATAGGAGCCACCCATTTCAACCAATAGGGTTGCTCCATACTCAGAAACCACCCATTTCAACCAATAGGGTCGCTCCATACCCAGGAACCACCCATTTCAACCAATAGGATCGCTCCATACTCCCTATGTTTTCTTTGTCTATCAATTTCAATAATTAGTCCGCAGACCGGACCTGATTACATCGGTCCTCTGGCGTGAGGATTTAAAACAAAATTTTAAAATTCCAGCAAGCATTTTGTGTCGCACTATAGGTGGTTTTAAAATTTCGAGGGAAACACCCAGATCTGTAGAAACACTTCGCCTAACAACAAAACTGCGACTGACTCATTTTTTCCCCAACTTCGCAAGTGAGATTTTTCCCCGGGACGAATCCCATGAAACGTGCCGTGGAGACAGTCCGTAGTTCAGCTGCACAAGTCTCTAGTTTCACCACTTACACCCCACTGTCGTTGACCTCTAATTAAGCTACCCTGAGCTTGATGGTTCTCGAAAAGCGTAGCGGAGTGCGTCAGCGATTTCAGGTTTGCGGTTAGTAGTCGTCGCTCGGCGCCCTGCTCGAACACGTTGGCGGTGGAATGCGATGAGCAAAGTTTCGGACAAATGCAGTTCCTCGCAGCACCCGCACGTCACAACGCACGAATTTAATTTATTTCCGATCGAGTGTGTTTGGCATCTACTTCTGTGCGGCCGGGCTAAGGAAGAGCGACGTATGAAAATTCAGGCACTGCCAAATTCACTCCGCCAAATTACACATTTTCTTAGATATTTCGGAATAGTTTTCACGCTGGAAAAAAAACACATTGAGTCTAGAGTCCAGACTCTTAAAAACATCGACAAGAAAAAATACTCTTGATTCGATCAGATTTAAGCTTAAATCAAGAACCAAGCCTCTTAATTTGAGCGGATTTCCTTTTGATTTAAGCTTAAATCCGATTGAATCAAGAGTATTTTTTCTTGTCAATGTTTTTATGAGTCTGGACTCTAGATCCAATGTGTTTTTTTCCAGTGCATTGAAATTGTCTGGGGTATTTTTTTCGCGATCTAACCTAATATTCACTGGAAAAAGATTTTCCTTGAGATGTTATTTCGACTAAAAGTGTCGTTTCTTGTCGAAAATTTTCATATTAGTTTATTTTCTTTCATATTAGTTAAATTCGTGCGGATTCAACTTAAAGTCAATTTGTTTATATGTACTTAAAAAGCGTCGTTTTGCTGGCGTTAAGTTTATGTTAACAAACAATAAAAAATCGACGTTTCGTTAACTAAAAAGAAACCAAATTTTGCAGACAAGAAACGAAGCTTTAAGAAAAATGTTTATAAAAACTTTGTAAGAAGTCAAGAAAAAATGTTTTCAGTATTTCTGAAAAATTCAAAGAAACATGGACAACTTTTCTCTGAAAGGACGTATTTACGCTAAATGGAACTAGAGACAGCTGCTTCAGGAATAGTGTGAGAGTGGCGTGATTCCTTTCGGCAAAATGGAAAATGGGAATTCACATTAAATGAAAAAAAAATAAACAGCAAAATTTGCTAACTCATGAGCCGAGGGCATGGCATAAGAGCGTTATTGACAGGGCTCATGAGTTAAAGTGCCCTACCGGCAATCTTGTTCCGTCGTCGACGCTGACATTGCGCTGACAACACTGGTGCTCTATGGTCAATGAGCACCTCTTTTAGCAAAAAAATCAAATAAAATTCGCCTGATCAATGATCATGACTAATGAATGTCGAGTGCCGTATTTGTAAAGCTGGTGCGCTTAGACGCAGCGAAGTGCCTTCAATTTTGCGTGATACCCTAAGCTTCACCGCAAAGTTAGTTTAGTTGCTTAACCTAACCTAACCTAACTCGGCTTAGCTGTTCATCTCAGTGGCACGGTAACGGAGAGTCTCTATCGGTGAATTTCAGTTTATCATCACCTTTTATCCGCTTGTATGTTCAAAGAGGAGAAAAGACAGTTTCAGAAAACAGCCCTAAA